AGTAGAAGAGATTTTCCACCACGGCAGACAATGCACAGATAATGGCAGTTCACGCATGATCTGTAGTTACTTTTCTAGGATGGTCATTACTGGTTCATAACTGCAGAAGGCAACAAAGGGAACCCACAGTTTGCCCATTCCCATTCTAAAAGCATCATCTAGCATGGGCTGCATGCAGAATAAGGCCTGATCAGCACCAGAAGTATCCATTTCATACAGACAGACAGTAACAGACAGGGAGATCTATTTTATAACCCTCAAAAAACAATTAAACACTACACGACTCTACACCTTACACTGACATGAGAAGTCTCCTTTTATTTATTAAAAAATGTTCATTGCAGTCAGATGTGCTACATACACAGCAATACCTTACCACAGGTATCAGCTGGTCAACCCCACAGGGGCATCATTAGGATATCTAGCAGCTATTTAACAGGAATGTGCAGGGTTTTCTTTTAGCTTTTTAGTCACAGGAAATACTTAGTAATGAAAAACATTTCACATCAACTTGGAACTTCATTTAATTAATATTTTCCATGTGATGCCTTAGTATTCTACGCTCTCAAATGCAGTTCCCTCTTTAAAACCATGGCTGCCACTAAAGAAATTTCACTCCCTCTAACCCAAATGCCCAAACCAGATGCACTTCAAGAAGACAACAATGCCAAAATGCTCAATAAAGGCTACAGCCTATTTACTACTTAATGCATCCCAATGCTGGATCATGCAACTTCATCCACTTCTTGTCAAATTTTAAGGCTTTTTGCTGTTAGTACTGCAACCACTAACACTACAGTTTGAATATCTCTGAGATCCTCAGCAACTTCTCATACTCCAGTCTGAATTTCTGATACATTAGTCAATTAATAGCCTACCAGTCACTGAGTGGCTCTTCATATTTAAATACTGCTACCAGTTTCTGAAAAAATTAAGGATACTGCAACTTTAAAAAATATGTACAGATTTCCATTATTACTATTCTTTTATTTTACACACCTTTAGAGCCCCCTTATTGGAGCAATGCTTAAGCTGAAACATTAATCCCAATCAAATAATAACTCATACCGTATATAGGATAAAAAGAATATTACACAGGGGGAGGCTCATGTCCAGCTGCTAGGTCATCACTATTTTTTTAAAATGCAGTTAGCACAATATTCCTCCTCTATAAATGATCTGGTAGATACATTTAAGATACTCAATATTTTGCCACAAAGCTTTTAAAATGAACTGCTAGCTTCCTTATGCAAATATGTCAATCTCCATCACAAAATGTTTATCTGCAATGAAATCATCCAACAGATTGTCTGATACACAGGAAGGAGAGCAACGTTGTTTTAAACAATCTGTAACATTCACATAACCATTTCCCCGTGTGTAATAGTCTCAGAAGAATAAGAATGGTAATCCAGCCCTGGGATTTCTTACCTTAAATCTAAGCAACCACTTAATGCATAAATGGAGCAAATAAAAGAGGTAAGGAAAAAAAGCATTGAAAGGTTAGTTGGAACTTCAGGATATGAAGAGAAAGGAAAAAGAAAGAAAAAAGTTAAGCATTCAGCATCAACAAAATAATGTATCAGTAGATCATAGAAAGAGTGGCTAAAGCAGAATGTGTCATGAATAAAAGATTTTCAAGCTGAAACTTTCAATATATGTTGATCACAAAGCCCTTACATTAACACTTCAAAATTAAAGCTCAGTTGTCAGTACACTGTTTACTCGAGTTCTTACAGTACTAACTGTAAGTCACCATCCTTCAGAATGAAAAATAAGACCTTGATGGATTAATTTCAGAGATTATTTTTTGGAGCTTTCATTCCAAAGAATGGACGTATCAATACCCTGAGCTCAACTGAATTCAGTTCCCTGCATTAGCATACTCACAACCAGCTGAAAAAAAACCTCTAAATATTGATCTAATACATGCTGCTTCCTAGACAATGCTAGTAGTTAACTCTTAATCTGGTCCAATGAGAAATCTCCTGAACAAAGACCAAGAGTAAATCATCATGCCTTGTGCTTTTGGCATGAAGTCACACAATATCTCACTGGCATAATACCATATATTTTCTTTCCCCATAATAAAAATATCAGTACAAGTAATCCTCCCATTTTAATATCTTCTGATCTGTTTTCAGTTCAGCTGATCTGAACACATTGCACATCACATTACTTCAATTTCTTGCAACACCAAATGTAAAACAGGGCAGAATCTCAACAGCCGGGACCAATCTGGTTCATTCACTTAGCTTATAACAAGAACCTAATGTAGCAAAGAAAGCATAATCTGATTTACTAGAAAGCAGCCTTCAAGTTCAAAATTCCATGTTGATATTAACAAAAAAGAAATCACTGCTTCACAGGAAAGCCAGGTGTCCTTGTAGTGGCCAAAAAGATTGTCAATTCCATGAAAGGGCCCAGGAGGGGGTGATCCTCTCCTCAGCAGTACTGCTTGGTAATTGCAGAACCTTAATACAACTACACACCACTTCAAATGGATCAAACTTTTTTCTTTTCCATCCTCCTGACTAGAAAACCTCATGGAAGGAAAAGCAGAAGACTCTGTAACCCAAGAAACATTCAAAAAGAATAAAGCAAGTCCCTTTCAGATAAGAAGTTCTTTGTATTTTTGCAGCACTGTGGCTTCAGAGAAGCAAGATGATGAGGGACCACTTAGAATGATATAGTGGCATTTAAATTCTCTCCCATCATTCTGTAAAGCACCTTCTCCCAAAGAAATCACCCACCAATGTTTTGAACTTCCGAAAGTGACATAGCTAGTTAATAAACTGGTTAAACTATTTACTTCAACTTGGCATGCTGGATTTCTTGGCCAACGATGCTCCTGTTTCCCCTTTATTTTACTCTCAGTCCAGTTCACAATCATTTTCAGGGACCGCAATGAATGCATGCTACACTACTTTTTCCACTGTCTTGATAATAAATAACTCTGTGTCCCAGTGCTAGAGGGAAAGCCCTACAGCAGGAAAGTAGACAGAGGATTAATAATAACTACAACTTCAACACTATTTATTCACTAACTTGTCAAGTACTCATTTTAAGGGAAAATGCTCAATTGCAATATTGCTTTTAAGCTCAAGCAATAAATGACTATAAATAAGCACACTTAAAGCTAACTTTCATCTTTTTTCTCTTTCTTGTCCAGCAGGAGATCTAGTAAACTACTCTGCAGTTACTCAAGCAGAACAAAATTAACAAGCTCATAATAACACAACTGGACACTTTCGCCCTACCAACAAGAGGGTGGTTCCTTCTTCAGCACTGAACACAGGATTGGATCCGTATCTTAATGTTTGCTTAATGTTTCACTAACCACACAATGCTTTTCCAAGGCTTTTCACATTCTTTTCTAGATAAATACAGTACATTGCAAACAGTACATCTGGATGCTGTTTCAAGTATATCACAAGCAGAACAAATGGATGCCAATACACATTTGACTCATCAGCCACTGCATCACAGTGGGTCTGATTCTGCTACACTGAGGTAAGTAGAATAGCAACTATAAGGGTTTAAAGCCAGTGGGAAGTAACATTGTGTTGTAGAGCAATTAAAACTTTTTTTAATGAGTTCTAAAATAATTTCATTAAAGTGATCATAATTATATATATATTATCAAGAACAATATCCAGACAGAGTTTTGTCGACCTGCAGATATTCAGAATTTGAATAGGTAGTAGATCTTAACACAAGAATTATAAAATAGGAGCTATTATTGATATTGCAGGAGTTGTTTTGGTTTTCTTTGTTCATATTTTTTCTCTAAATTAAGGAGTTACTTGTCTGTTGAGAATCTGATTAAGGTCACAAACTGAAGTTGAACGTTTTGGTAAGAAATGGTGAAAAATCTTTTCAGTTGACTAACAGGATGTGAAGAAGACTTTAAGTAAAATTGTTCTGAAGAAATACTTAAACAGGACTGTTAAGAATTTGAATTTTAAAAGTCAGGTTAAGCAACTTGCTGTCACCTAAATCCAAGGTGACAGTTTGAACTGAACATCACAGACAATCCAATGCAGGTAGGTATCAAACAAAAAGAAATTCTTGTGTAGTTTGACTAGAAGAAACATCTTACTGTACCACTAATGCAGAGGCTTATAGATTTGTAGGTTTGTCACGTACAAATGACACAGCTTTGTGTTATTTACCTTTCTTCTCCTGGAACTTTAACCCTGTCAGTGTTCTCATTTCCATATTTGTTTTCCTGGCAGCACAGTTTAACAACAAGACAATGACATGCCTGCTAAGACTCTGCTTGCATTCAGGAAATGCTTCAAAAAAATCTACATACATGTAATCCCACACTTGACATGACTGCCGTTGTGCTGTTCTAAGAGTTGTACAGAACAGCCACCAATTGTGTCTTGTTCTGATCTTTACCCCGAAATTCACTTATCCTAGTCTTAAAAGACCAGGATCAGCCGGCTTTGAGCCTGGCACCACTATTCTGAAACCCTATGTGGCAAAAAAGTTGTAGAGAGCTCACTTTAGCAAAGCACATTACAAGATATGGGTACGACAGATTGACAGAAGTTAGAGAAGAGAGCAACTAGTACTACTTATGCAAACACTTTCTTCAGATGAGCTTCCAATTAAAGCTGGATCATATTCTGTGTTGCTAATTCAGAGAGAAAAGTGAGAGATAGTCATTAACCTTTCATTACTCAGGTATATCCTGACAACTGACCCAAATAGTAAGAGCAGCATCACACAAGAACACATTCAGAAGCACTGTAAAAGCTGAGATGTACAGTCCCAAATATCCTCAGAAATAAGATTCAGTGAGCTGTGAGGTTCAAGGAGAAAGGGAAGGGGAAAGAGTAACTGCAGTCTTGCAGAACTCCTCTTACACCTATAGACACACTGGCCAGGCAAGAAGAAACTGGTATATTACCATGAAAAACATCAGGTTATTTTGTAAATACACATAAACAAAGTATTTGCAGTTTGGCTGTTTTAACAATATCACCTACCTTCACTCCATGTCCAATATCATCTAGAATTGTATAATCAATAGGTTTCCTGATGTAGCGAACTGGTCGCTCCAAGTTAGCTGGTGCAATGATTTTGTGAGTTCTTGAGGTGTTTTTGTTTGTAGTCAAGATACCAATTTCTCTTCTAGCAACTTTCTCTTTGTGAATGTCCACCGTCTACAAAAGACGCAGTGTATTTACTAACAGTGGTATGCATTTGAATACAGAGTCAGTAGACAAAAAAAAAACCTCTAAATCAGTTCCAATGTTTTGATACTGAGCTAAACATATCACTATATATACTTGCTTACATCATCTTTGATTTACTGTTGAACCTGTCACCTCCAAACCTACACTAACGGCCACAAGTCCTTTGGATTTTCTATTACTCTCATTCTTAACAATTGAGCAAAATATTTTTTATTTCCTATGAATTTACTGACACTGATTTATACAATTCTATTAATTATCTTTTTAAATTCTACAACTGCTTCCTCAGCTGGTCTTTGAAATACCCTCCATTGAGATGAAGCGTAAGGATATCTTCCCAAACCTGAACTTCTACAACCTGAAAAACAAACTGTAAGCTGCTTTTCTCACACTAAGAGAGTTTGCTAAGCTAGCACTGGTAGCTATACAGCAGAATACAGCTTCTCTCAGACAAATCAGACAAGGTGCTTCAATCATTACAAACTCATTATCAAAAAGCAATGGTGAAATTTTACGTCGTTAAGCCCAGTGCCTTCATTTAGAATGGGTAAGGCTTGCAAAGAAAAGCCATCCCTCCCATAACACAAAAATCATACCATGAGTACCATCAGAGAATATCTACCTCAGAAACAAGGTCCTACTGAAAATTCATTCTTTGAAAACATGTACTTGAATTTTATTTATTTATTTTAATAGGAGAAGGAAAAAGAGAACATTATCAAAAAAACCAACCCATCTCTTGCAGGGAAAAAAACAACCCTCTTAAAGCAAGGTGCACAGAGTTGCATGCAGCATTAACCAAAAAAATCATCATCATCATTTGTTGACAGAACAACTTTGCCTACAAAAAACTTCACAGATGTGAACATTTTAGTGACAGGTTAAAGTGAGAAAACACTCAGAACTACCATCATTAATATTGTTAATCATTCATAAAATTTCTTCTGATCGCGAACAGTACCAGAGAGACTTCTTGTAGCCAACACAAATGCTCTGTAGCAATTATGAAGGAACAGGTACAAATGAGAAATTATTTTCATAACAAAAGTTTTCTGAATTTTACTTTTCTGTGGGCAGGCACTGGAACAGCAGGGTTGGCTACAATGTTTTACACTTCTGCTTGAGCCAACGATAACAGAAGCAGCAAAAACAATCTTGTATGTCTGTATTATCTATGAAAGTAATTCTAAAACATGAAACAAATGAACAAAAAACCACAAACAAAAGCATGCAAACAAAATAAACATACAAAACTCCCACCAAAATAAACAAACAACAATTCCTAAAAGCCGTTTCTTCAAACTCTTTCCAGAGAAGAATTTCCCCAAATGTTCAGGGCACAACGTGCAAGTTTAAACTACAATCTATCAAGATTACCTATTATTTCCCAGCAACTTATTTTCAACATCTTGCACCTTAGCTAAACTGAATCAATTAATACAGCTTTGTCCTGTCCATTTCTGCCACTTCTGGTACCACCTGCCTACAGCAATAAAGCTTCTACCAAAGCTACACAGCTATTTGTTCGAACAAAGCTACCAAGTAAACAGATTATTTAATCTTGGAATATGTTGGCAATCCTGTCTTTGGAAAAGCTCAAGTTCATTGGGTAACAACTGGAAATCTATTAGGGCAGTTAAACTACTTGGGATACATTCTCCATCACCCTTACAAAAACCCACCCAAATCTGGTCAACACATGAACCTTTGCAGAAATTCAGTTTGTGCAAGCTTAATTTAAGAATTAAGCTGCTCCACAACTAATTTTGCCAAAGTCCCTTCTGAAGTTTCCTGGGATGACCAGGTCTAGATACTATCCCCCAAGGGAACAGTGTGAGTCAGATTCTTCATGTCTCATACAGTGCTTATGGCACCAGAGCAAACAGCACATGCATATGTTCCAATCCAACACAGGAAAAAAGTACCATTTTGCATCAGAGTAAAATCTACTATTCATCTTCTGACGTATTTTAGTCCCTACCCTGTGCCAAACCTTCACTTTGACAGTTCAGCAGAGGGAGTGGTTCACATCATCATTATACCCAAGAGGTGGTCTACAAAAACTTTGCCTCAGCAGCTGGGGACTCAGCACAAATTGTTTCATCTGTTTGTTTTGTTCATCTTGGTTTTTATAATCTAACTGCATACATCTGTAACAACTTGAAAGACAGTTTTACGTTTAATACCACAGAAGAATTCCATTCTTTACTGCTATCTCAGACTTCATCTGTGATCTAGACGTGACACTAGAGAAGCGCAGAAACATTTTATGTTCTCCGTCTCATGGGCCTCTGACCACATTTGCTGAAAAGTTAAACAACCCCAGCTGCTGGAGCAACTGCTTCTCAATTGCTATATAATGTTTCAGATGTACAGCAACATCACAGTCCTGCGGCTCTGAATCAGAAGTTTATTTCTACCTCAGATGCTATGTTCTTAGAGCTTTGGCTTCAATCTACAAAACGGAGAAAGTAATTCAGCACAGCGTTGGGAAGTTTTTCTTACCCTGCATTTCAAGTGCATCTCTTCAGCAAACTTAATCATGCACTTTTAGTATTATATTACACAATTATCTACAAACATAAGGCGAATGAAGATATTTAACACACGTGTTATTGTAGAGACAGCATCTTGGCACTGTGGAAACTTGTTTCCATGAATTATGAGAGGGTTTTATTAATAATTAAGTAGGAATTGTAAGAACATTCAGTTTCCTTAAGGACTACTGTGATAAACGAGGCACGACTTCAGTAACAAGCAACAAAAAGCATAAAACCTGATTACAACCTGAAGCTCATCTAACAGGGGTTCTCCTGCATTATGATTCAGAACATCTCCTTTTTCTTTAGCAGCAATGGGATGATTGACTAAGCTCATTAAAACAGCATCCACTTCAGGCAAATATGCCCCAAATTGTATTGTGTCGGAAGGTTGTTCAAAAAATTTCATTTTCTTGATTAGTTGACTACTGGAATTATAAGATCTTAAGACATTTGTATAATAGCAGAAAAGAACATTAAGCTATTTAATTAGTAGAAAACACAACAAAGATTAACCTGCTACTAAAAATCAAAATATTTATCTACAGCACAGATAATTGTTGTCTCCAATACTAGCATAAATCCCTTAAGAAAAATGTCAAAAGAATATTTATTCACTGATACAGAAACTTCTATTGAGAAGCATCAATTTCAAATGATTCTCTTCAGAAAATCTCCAAGAATATGACAAAGTGTGTTTCATTGTTGGGGGTTATAGCTGGATTAGCAGAACACTGAACTTGTGAAGTCCAGCAGGAGCAGCAGATGGGATACACTCTGTACTTCCATAATTTAAAATATTATTGTCTGATAAAAACTTTCTAACTCCTGACAGTGTTATGCATTTTTCCCCCCATCACTCCAGTAGGCAAAAGCACTTACATAATAGAAAGTTCATTAAAGGCTAGACTCATCATTACCATTTTTTCCAAATACCCTCCATAACATCTGCAAAAGGCAATCAATGGCTTAAGGAGAAAAACAAAACTAATATTATTCACCACTTTACTTAGAAGTCAGAGTTTAAAAAAAATATTTATTGCTGTGAATGAAATTTCCCAGAATACTAAGCTAGCACACTGGAAGCCCAATCTGTTGTCAAATTTCAGAAACAAAAGTCTCCACAGCCTTCAATTTTTACACTACTCAAAACATCCTAATTTTCAATTATCAATATACTGTCAGTTTGTTTGGGCTTTTAAAATGCACTTTAAAAACACCTTCTGAGAAAAGGCTGCTTAAGCACAATGATGCTAAGTTGTTTGGTGAGTTGTTTGTTTGGTTTTTTTAAATATAACTATCTTATTTCAAATTAGCTTGAAAAGTGGACTATTACTTTAAAATGAAGAACTGACATCAGAAATGTGACATCTTTGTTGCTTCAACATATTTAAATGTGTTCTGTACAGTAGGAGGTCATAATGACACTAAGATGCTGAAGAGCTACCTACCCAATTAAGTGGTAAAATCTACTGTGCAAAATTAGATTTGCAATGCCATTTTCAGACAAGTCTGTCTATTAGAACTTGCCACTTTTAGAAATGTCTGGCTACACATAATTCACAAGAAAAAGACAACTGAAAACAGTTACCAGCCTTCACCGACAGCTCAGTGGAAGATCCAAGGGAGCTTCCATGCAGAGACCACCTGGCTCACGCACACTGCTGCAGTTCAACCAAGCACCATGTGCTGACTACAGAAGAGTTCAGCCTGTGATCCATTCGCTGCTCATGACTGGCAGCACCATGGGAGACAAATTCTACAATAAGAGGATGAAGCAGGTTTCTCCATCCTACAGCACCACTGGGGACAACACATCACTCTTACTGTATTTGAACTCTTTGTGACAGAACACTTGTTTATATAATTACCTGCAGAGAATAGCTTTAAAGCTCAACTTTCTCACTAAGAGTATTTTATAACTAAATCTGACCAAATCATATGAATAGTAAAACCTGAAAATCTGCAAAGTTACTTTAAAGAATTTGGAGATGATGTTTCACAGCATCTGCTAACTTGAAAAAATTTTAACAGAATTTTTCTAACGAGTATAAATATTTATACAGACGATCTGTATTTAGGATTGAAATTATTCAAATATAAAACAATGCATATTATCTATTACTGGACAAAGATCAAGAAAGCAAGTAAGAACAGATAGATTCATCAGGCTTTAAACCAAAACAAAGTAATCTAGATTTTAGACTAACAGGATTTAATCACTTTCATTAAAATGATTTCCTTATGGAGGACCTATATGCAATTTGAACATCCACAAATGGTCATCAGTTTCTGTCTCGGTTCTTTGATTAAGTTGACATTTATAAGGAAACACAAAAAGTGACATAAATTTGCATTCTACGTACGAGCAGAGAACTAGAATGCTTTATCCTCTGAAGTTATTGCGACTCTGAGTTGGAGCTACATTTAAGCAAAACAAGCACTTCTGAAAAAGTTTTTTTTTTTTTTTTTTTTTTTTTTTTTACTAAAACCCAAACACTTTTAGCAAAACACCAAAGACTTGGGTTTTGCTCCCCTCTTTGGAGCACCTGCAGGATTTTGAATGAGAATCAAAAGCAGGGCTACACAACTACATATCATAACCTGAACTAGTGTTTTCTAAATTTAAATCTCACTGTGTACTGACCAAAGTATTAGTGCAGTAATGTGCTGCCAAATGTGAGCAGATGGTAGTCACCAATCTGTTCTATGTTACTGATATCATTTCAAGTCAGAGAGAAATGATAATTTGGCCATGAGGTATTATTATACCCTGAAATATTTAATGTCACTTGACAAACAACAAAAAAAAAGATGGCAGAAATTTTCCACAGGTTTGACTTGTTCCAGGAGTACAGTCAAAGTTACTGAACTGAAATTATTTATTACATAGCAACTGTGACAAAAATAAATTTTCTAAAGAAAAGTAACTACTGAAGTTGAGAATATAACACAATATCAGTATTGTCAGATGGACCCATTTCTGATGGCATTAAATACAACTTAGTCTTAAGTTCCTAGGACCAGCACACTTCATATAAGTGTCTGTTCTGATATCACTTCTTCCATGAAGATTTGGGGAGCATCCTATATATGGATAATACAGTAAACAAACAAAAAAGGCAATAAAAACAACCTTCTGTTTTCAATTCTACAGAGATATTTAAAAAAAAAAAAAAAATCAGAAAAATTTAATTTTGCTTGGTTGTACAAATGCAGAGTGTAACAGGTACTGATAACTTAGCATTCCATTTTTAGTAACCACGCCTTTTGTACAAGAGACAAAAACATGCGATCTAAACATGTCAACCTGCATAAAATCCAGGTTCTCAGAAGGAAAAAGTTAAAAATGCCATGAACCTTTCCCCAGAATTGCTTTACAGAAACTGCGTGACAAATATATTTCATGTATCTCTAAAATAGAAAATCCACTGAGTTCAAGTAGTTTTATTCTGTATTCCATGCTAGGCTCTCAAATAGCCAAAATACCTGTCAGCTGGCACTAGCCTCCTAAGAACTGTATACATGCACCCAGGCTCACCCACCTCACACACACGCAGAAGTATATACACACATCCAAATCACAGAATGACTTGTGTTGGAAGGGACCTCAGGGATCACCAAGTTCCAACCCCCCCCGCCAGAGGCAGGGCCACCAACTCGATCTGACACTAGACCAGGCTGCCCACAGCCCCATCCAACCTGGTCTTGAACATCTCCAGGGATGGAGCATCCACTGCCTCTCTGGGCAGTCTGTTCCAGCACCTCATCTCTCTCTCAGTAAAAAACTTCTTCCTGACATCCTAACAGAAATACACAGCAATGTCAGACACAGCATGTACACAGCCCATACACATACAGTCACGCAGAGCAACTTGTGACATTTTCTGGAGAAAAAAATACATATTGAGTTAAGGATTACAAGAACTATGCAGCAGAAGAAATGAAACTTCTGAGGTTTTTTCTAAAGATGCAGCCACATGAGATGGCTGAAGCCATCAAGTAGCGTGCCACCAGCAGGAGGGAAAATTCAGGCTGCCCCTTTCTTTGCACCTGCTTGGAATTCATCTGACCCCTCAGTAAATCAACTTGGCTCATTAAGAGAGCACAAAATGTTGCTGGTCTAGTCCTCCACCAGTTTAGCAGCCCTTCCAGCACAAGCAAGTTAACAGATCTCAATCCACTTTACAGACAGAGTTTCAACTTTTGGAGAACTATAAGAGAGATCATCCACAAGAGAGAAGATGAATCTCAGGTGGAGAAAACATAACCATAAAGGAACAAGGCAGCCAGCTACAACATTTTCTTGTTAATAGATTGCATCCACCCACTCTCACTGACCTACTGATAAAAATAAACTTCACTCATCTGTTGGGTGTTTTTTTTTTTTACAGTTCAGTAAGGAAACCAAGTAACTGTACACTAGTAGAAAAACAGAAAGTTCTGTATCATTACTCTTTCTCCTTTTAACCTATCTCGGACACGTAAACCTCCAACAAGAATAAACTGAGAAGGAATTATAGATTTGTTATCAAAACTCCCTCATCAGTGTTGTGGTCACACATGGCTTCTTGATAACAGTAAACCACTTTATTGTTGCTCTGTTAAACTGCAGTGACAGGCATTTTGTAGCCGTACAGAAACTTGAGACGTTAACTTTGCCATCTATTTGCTCCATTACAAATTATGAAAAGCCACATGTGCTTTTACCATCAGATGCCACCAGTATGACAGCAACAGGTAAAGGGAAAAGATGACAAGTATTGTTTTCCACCATCTATTTCACTTTTTAAAATTTATTCTAAAAATCTGCTGCTATTCAATACCTCATACAGGAATACAAGAGTTGGAAAGGATAATCCATCTCTTAGCATAGTTTTCTGAATTTTCCATTAGCTGTTTACCTGTGCTTTTCACTTTATACACAGAACAAACAAACCCATTTCCAAACAATAAACTGGCCTCAGCTACATATGCTATGTAAAATATTCACAATAATACAAGCATAAAAAAATAAAATAAAATAAAATAAAATAAAAAAAAAATCACACAGACACCATTCCTAGGTTTAATACTAAGAGAAATGCATCCCCCAGTTTTAAATCTAACCATTTTTCTTCTTCACAAAATGTCAGGTAAGTTGCACACTGTGAGTTTTTACTTGCTGTATAACTTCAAGAAAAGACAACAAGAAAAATCAGGAAAGAAGTCTCACTTGTGAAATATGGTTGATCGAAGATTCCATGCGTCGAAGTTGAGATGCCTGGATATCCAGCATTTGAAGAACATTGTTTGCCAAAGTGTTGATCAGATAGGCTACGCTTGCTAATGACTGGGTTGTGTAGGCTTTGGTTTCTTCTAGGGCTCGCTGCTTATCTGCTGACTGAAAGCAGAAATAAAAGGTTTATTCAGTAAGTCTCTTGCACAAAGATTCATGGAATTAACTCATTTTGCCTTTCTTTAAAGGACAATGAATTACAGAATTCAAACTAACTGTACATAAAAGCTACCATTTTTCCTCCTTTACATTTTTTTCCACTACACAAAAGACATTAACTTTGTATGTTAACAGTTTCAGGACTTTATAAAAGGAATTAGGATAGTATACAACATGCTGATCTTTTCTAGGAACATTTTCATATTTTAAAGCACAACTTCTATCACACTTCCATAAAAAATTTAAAATCACTCCAAAATACTTAATGCTCATCATAGTTGCAATTTGGTTTGTTTCTCCAATGAGACAAGAAAACACTCCTATTACAGAATTCAGGCTCCCTTTTAAACTTTGTACATATTCCTCATCCCTCTCAATCATACTGACCCCACTATTGCCACAAATGGTCATTAAAAATGGAGGCACTCAGCCACTGTGAATTAATTACTACTATTCCCTTGAAGTGGTAGCTGAATTCAAACATGAATGGAATCACATAAGTTCTTGTTGTTCTCCTAAATGTTTTGATCATTTTCACTTTGTATTTTCTTCTGCAAAGAATTTGTATGACCTACGATTCTAGTAGAAGAGCACTTAAAATATATAATCTGTCAAACCAGAGGATCCATATATAAAAACAAATTTAATTTCAAATACCATGAGAATTAATGAGCTAAAAGCCTAGTCCTCAAAGCATTTCTCCTAGAATTAGTTAACATCAGTAGAAGCTAACTCAGCATAAAGAATACAGCTTAATCCAATGCTAAAACACACCAAATGAGACACTAATAAAATTCAGTTCCTGGTTTGCTAGGGCTAGGGATACAGTGAATTTCACTTCAGTCATCTTTATCCTCCTTACAGGCCAATGATGCTGTTGCTGAAGTAGCAGGTGACAAGTGCTCTCTACACCCACGTGCCATTGTAATACTCCATCTTACAATTTCTTTTCCTTTATATATTTTTCACAAACATTGAGTACCAAGGTTCAAGAAACATGCTTTTATTAGAGAGGGAAATTAAAATAATTCTGCATGCTTCAGCACAAGCTGAATCTACCATCCATTTGACAACATGTGCTTTAAGGTGGCACAGAAAGCAACCCTACCCTTATTACAGGAAAGTCATTCTTGTAGTATGAAGTATTTCATCAGACCTTGCACTAAGATCCTCAAAAGCAAGATTTCAAGGAATAAATAAATAAATAAATAAATACCAACACCACAACACAAACACAAGCATAGGACTTCAATTAAATGCCCAAAAATGTTCAGTACTCTTTGCAAACCAGTCATGGCAATGGTCAGCCTGCAACATTCCTCCTCCTTGCTGGACCCACTAGTACCACTTTCCATTCTGCTTCCCAAAATGAGGACAGCAGCAGAGCTCCTATGGGCTGCAGAAGGGGCAGTCATCATCATATCATGCCTTCTCAGGGCACAATATGATGATGATCTCCAAGCAAGGATGCATGTAATGGCTCACACCTAGCCATAAAGCCCTTAGAAAAGTACAGTCTTCAAACCCCATTTAAGAATTGCTGACTTTCAGCCATCTGGGTAACATATATTTTATCTAAAAGAACTCCAAACTTAGCTTAGGAACTCCCAAACAGAGGAATACAGAACTCTCTGCATCGACTCTCACACCATCAGCATCTAAAACATGCTCTCTTCCCACTCGTAACCTCAGCTCAGCCTGCTAATACCACATCAGTGAGCACACACACCACAGGACATTTTCACAGCTATTCAAACAACTTCTGAATGGCAATAATAAAAATGACCAGAAGAGTGTCAGTTTTGCTCTGCAGCTGCTACTGAAGCCTATTTATAGAAGCAAAAACTGCTGATTTACATTAGTACACTCTACATCCAGAATAGCTGAGTAGAAGCCAGCAAGCACAATTTGCTTCATTAATAGCCAAAGTGTTTGAGAACAAAAAGAAAGCAATCTATCGTTTTAGAAATTATGAGCCTCTGCTATGGTTTTACTGCTTCAGGAGGTTCAAACATAAATCCAAGTTCCAACCTAGTTCTTCCACTGATGTACACCCAATACTCAAATTCAAGTCACTTCCATTTACACCCTTTCAACAGGGAAATTGTTTCTCAAAAGAAAACCTACAAACACATCTGGATCCATTATACACACAAAATCCCTTCTTATTGAGAGCCACGTTTGGGTGTTTGGTTGATAACCTGAACAAATATGATTTGCTCTGCATGCCATTATACAGAGTCCCCAGTTCTCCGACACAAAGTTTGAACTTCCCTTGAACTTCCAGCTTCACCTCGCAAGCAGTACTAAGAAGATATCTGAGCATCACAGCTGGATCACCAGGAGATACAGCCTTCAGGAGATACCACCTCTGGATCATCTATGTTTGCTGTGCCATCACCAATCTGCAAGCAGCAGCTTAGCGTCCATCCTGGTAGCATTCTTCTCCCCCACAAACCCCACCCCAGGCAGTCCCCCCTGAGCCATAGCACAGTGTACCTCCCTCCAGCTCTCAGCCCTGAGAGCTTTGCTTTCCCTCAGCACAGAGCTCTCCAAGAAGGATGTGCCACCTGCTGGCAAGAGCCACCAGCCCCACTGCAGCGGGAGCAGGATCCAGCACCGAAGCCCCAGCCATAACACTGCCCAGTAATCCGTGGAAAAAGTTTCCAGTTTGTAGGAAGCACCCACTACTAATACACTGCTTGGCTTCCTTGAAAAACAAAACAAAATTATAAGCTTGATATATTACATGAGATGGATTGCCTTAGAGCTACAACCTAGACTACAAATTCAGTCAGCAAAGGTGCAACAGTACATGCTTGGAAAAAGTCATTACTAGTTACCACTTCAATATGCAAGTCCAAACTAAGCCTAACACTCTTCAGGAATGACAGTGCAAATCTTCACCAGAAAATACTTTTTTTTTTTTTCCCTCCATACCAGAGTGTATAACAGAGTGCACAACAGTAGAAAGGATGTAAAATTCAACCAGCAGCAAGAGCAAAGCTGACCGTTTTTCACTGCAGGATGCAGTGCCGATGCATCACTTTTTTGAGCCACCCTGAAATTTACATTTACACAGCACAATCACATTAGCAGATTTGAACACAAAATGGCCTGAACTGCTAACTATACAAGATATCCTTTTCCTTCAGGAATTAAACCTCTCCATGGCCTTTTTCCTGCCTAGAGAAATACAACGTTTATGCTATAGAAGCAATAGTATAACAATTGCAAAGAAGAAAAAAATAACACTGAACAGAAAGCATGAGACAGGTGAGAAAAAAAATTACAGTATGTATGGAAAATGTCAACATAATTAAGCTATATGAAAGCTAAAAGAAAGTCTAAATGCCTACAGACCTCAAAAAAGAAAGACCAGAAAACACCTGAGAATTTACTGCATCCTCCCAGCCTAAAGTGTGATCAGCCAGAGCAGTGATGAAATCCGCCAGGCCACTGCAAGAACCTGAATGTTCTGTGCATAAAGGCAGCCTCTAATGCAGAAAGAAGTACTAGAAGGAAACTAACAATGGAGGCAGCATGAGCTCTATAGTAAGATTTACTCAGTATCAACCTAACTAGATAAAACAAGAAATGCTACCAGGAGAAAATTTAGAAAGACAGCAACAAAAAGCTAATTCAGAGAGGTCTGAAAGCGGTGTATCACAAGAAGTACTAAAAGACATGGGTAGCTTATTTGGCCAATGCAGCTACCTTTTCTCCCCTACTACCGAACATTTCTGGCTATCCAACCACTGGCCATCATCAGCTTGGGACTGCAAAATTTTCAGCTGGGCTAACAACACTTACATAACAAATTCTGTTATTAGAGCCCAAAAGTTTAGACCTGCAAGTTGATAAACTGTTCAATTCTCAGAACACCAGTTGTTGCCTTTAATATCGATGTGACAATTTTTTTCAACTTCTTGTTCTGAGCTTAGTATTTTTTATTTTTAAATTAAAGGCAGGGAGACTCTCTTCAGTGTAACGCTTTACGCAGCAGTACTTCAGTGTCAAAAGGAAAGCTGAGGCTCTGTATTGTAATATGGGACTAACTACACTGAAGTACACCCACAATCTCATAATCATTTCTCTGATATACACAGCATCCCTTGATATCATTCAAAATAGGACTGGCTAATGAAAGACTTCATTCATACTTCATACATGTTAAGAATAAGACTTTGCATTTAATCAATATGACAGCTGTGGTTTCCCGTGATTAAAACCCAAAAGGGACACCTGTCTGTGACCAGCAGTCAAAACTCCTCAGGTTTCTCTCTAGGTTGTAGCAGCTTCAAGAAGCCCCAAAAACAAAAGCTGGAGGACACAGAGTTCATTCAGCAAGTTTTTGTTATTCAGAACAAAATGTGCCCTACAAGTAATTAAGTATTTTACACATGTTTATTCAACTGCCCAGATGGTATTTGCTTAGTCTATCTAAATGCTTTCCAAGGACCTTCGTTATGTGAGAAAAAATGATGGAGGAGAAAACTGAGCATCATTAATCCAATAACAACACAGAGTCATGCCAAAAAGTTATGTAACTGCCAGTGAAAAATACAATAGCTTTGTTTTAACAAAATACCTCAATAAACACATAGTTGATAAAGAACATCCCTTACCCTTTCATTACTAGGTCTGCCTATTTCCTATACAAAATGCATGTATCTCACAATTTGTAAGTAGTTGGTCTGCAAGGTGAAACGGGTATGAAAAAGCAGAAGAGGCACAACAGACAAAACAAAATAAGATCTTCCAGAACTTAAAAAATTAAAAGAACTCTTAAAAAATTAATAATGTAGAACAAATAGAAAACTTCAGCATCTCCTTTTCAGATGTTCTGGAGGAACCATACGCTCTATTAATACATTGAACACAGAAGGAAATCCAGTTCACCTATTTTTCAGTATACCCAGAATGCCAAAGTACTTGGAGCTGGG